TACCAATGTAAAGACTCTAGAAATGATTTATAGATTATCATTTATAGATTACTATGACAGTGAGAGGATATTTTATAACAGACTATATTTACCTTTGCAAGTATTTTGTTTCATATGTTTTCATGTGATGCAGCTGAAGATACATAAACTCCTTCAGCTTCTGTTTATCTGGGACAGTTGTTCTGTACTGTTTCAGTTTTTTGCTTTGTTTTTCCTCTCAGTATTTAATGTCATCCCACTCTTTCCTAGCCTATAAGATACCTGCCTAGAATGATGCACATACCCTTGGCATGTTTCCCTTATAGGTGATGAAGGATGTTCCTCTTTCTTTCAAAATTCATTCTTTGATTTTAGTGTACATTAGAGAAATTTTCTTTGAGTTGAATCTGTTTGGGGATGTTCACATCATACTCAGAAGGAGAAGTTTTCTGTGGTTATTCTTTAAATTGCCACTGTTTTCTACTTAACTAATACATATATTTATAGCTTTCTTGAAAACATGCCACATATTTCATAAGTGTGCTTTTCTCTTATAATTTCAAGAAATATATTTTCAAATATGCTATATATTCATCTCTTAGAGCAAGTGTGATGTTAAAATTCACTGCTTTTTATTTTTCCATTTTCATCGACTTATTCTCTAATGGGTGAATAGTTACCTTTCCCAGCATTAGCTCTACTTCATTAGTCCTATCTACAAAACTTACGAGTATGTTCATTATTGTATTCTTAAGTCTATTTAGGTATCTGTATCCTGTAGAGTCTCAGTAACTTTCCTTAGTAATTCTGATTTCACCATCAGGTACCCTGTGGACCTCACTGGTGGTGACATAGTCTCTTGCTTGTTTGTATTTCTAGTAGCTTTGAGTTTATGTCTGTGCAGTTGAGGAAACAGTGATTTCTTTGACCTTTGGCCTTACTTTGGTGTAGAAAGACTGTCTCCTGCAGGTGACTGCACACGCTCTGGCTGGGAACAATAGTGATGTTGTCAGTATCAGCTGAGACACTTGCAGACAGCGTTGTAATCAATGTTTAGTGAAGTATGCTTTGATTGTCCTTTTTGCTCAAGGAGCAGATTTTTGGTTGAGGGGACTCCTCTACATTCTGGGGCTGGTGTGTTGGTAATGAGGACATCAGTGGTGTTGTGATCCTGTGGCCAGGGCTGTCCAGCACTAAGTCACCTAGTGTCTGAGGTGCATGGAAATTCCCCATGAAACCACAGACACCGTAGGTCTTTGTCCCTGGGGTTCCTGCAGTGATTTGGGTCCAGTACTGACAGGATGCAGCGATAGCCAAGGAACAGGAGCTAAGGTGTAGACGCCCATCACCATAGTTGATGGCCATTAAAAGCCTGATTGAGAACCCAGAGGGTGGGCACAAGGCACATTACATCTCTGTACTATCTCAATTCATTATTTATGTTTTATGTGACTTCTTGATTCAGAGAACTAAGAATGGGATTTAATTTTGGGGTGCCTACACAACAAAGAAATCAAATAGTGGACATTAAAATTTTCACTAACTGTCATGGTGCTAAAATAGTAACATTTTAATATGTCCTATGTTGAAGTAAGATTGACTCTTGAAGCTTTTTGTTCATCGCAAAATAATTGAAATTTCAATTATGCCTTATTTTAGTAACAGGCAAATTGATATGGCTTATTGAAATTATGCTCAAATGAACAAAGTAACATGTCTACTTAAAATTAAATATTTTGAAATTTTACCTTAACAACCACAAGTTTATAAAAACATCCATGTTCTTTACATCCTTCTAAGTAATGAATTTGGGATGGTCTAAATAATTGTAGGACACTAGAAATGTTAGCAGTTGTGGAAATTATTTTAAAACCAATAAACAGTATTGACTTTAGTCCTATGCAACATAAGTATTTAATCTGAGTTTTCTAGCTAAATTCAACACTTTCTTACATTTTTGACCTTATTTATTATCTACTCCAAGCTATATGCTCATTTAGTTCCCAAAAATTAACATTGTGTTTAGAAACTCTAAATAGCCAAAGTAAAGTAGTAGCTTTTTATGTGTATAGAATGTGTTAGGTTTATAGAGGGCCAGCCAAGTTACTCATATAATAACACAGCTAATGTTTAAAAGTAACTTGGTTCTTCTTTCACATTTTTAAATGGCTCAATCTTATATATTTATACAAAGATGCATGTCACCCCCTCTTAATTTCACTTTTAAGTAGCATTTATTTATTTATTTATTTTAGAGTGCAAAGAAACAAATATGTCTAAGACTTTCCTAATTTGCAACCAGGGTTTGTCTTTGTCATCTCTTCCTCAAAACATTTATTTTATTCATTTTGATTCCTTGAATCTTACACGTTTATCCTGTCTCTCCTTAAGTGTACCTGACTATATTGAACCTTTCTCATCTCCGGTAACTAGAGCTCTAGGTGAGTCCTGTAACAGTGAGTTCATTTCTTAGAGGTTGTACAGGAATGAAAGCTCACTGAATGCAGTGACTTCATTTTAACTCTTAAATCCTAGCACTCTGCCTAGTGCATAAAAGCTGGAAAATATACTAACTAAAGAGGTAAAGTCACAGCTTAATTTTGATTTTACTTTTAGTATTGTTTGCAAGGAGTGAGTTCTTTATGTTTATAATTAGTGGTAAGCTAATATTAAATAGAAAAAAAAAGCATCACTGCTCTAAACACATAGAAAATATGTCTAAAATATTAGAAAATAACACTGAAATGTATGGGATTATTGTTTCTATTTTCACATTATATAATCAACTATCATACCATTGCTTTTACTGTGTGCATTGTTGACATTAACTATACTAAAAGTGGTAATTACTCTGTGTGTCATAATTTGTTAATAGTTGAATAAGTTTAAAATGTTTTTAGATACTTTTACACTTACTACTAGAGTAGTGGAATTAATTTTCTAAGGGTTTTCCTTACCTGTATTGCAAATGTACATCCATCGTCAAACATGTATGCCAAGCAATTTACTGATCCTGTCTATTCAATACAACTTTTCCTAGCCATTTTGCTCAAGACCATGGATGAGCAAAAGCCAATGAGGTATTCTCAGGCATTCCATCCAGAAAATAATATTAGCCAGTTAGCTGACAGCCTCTACCTTTGTATGACTTCATAGGCTACCACGAGCCTCTTGTCTGATTGATCCAACAACTAGGACAAGAAGCCTTGCATTTTCATCCTCTCAGAGGATGCATATTCCCATTTCAGTTGCAATGATTTTCCTTAAAGACAATATTCTTTCCTGATAACCTGAGTCACTATCTAGACACCCCAGAAGTGCTAGCACCTGGTCACTTCTAATATGTTAATCTTTGCACTGAAGCTTTCCATTTTATTGCCTTAGGCACATGCATATCACGCTGTTCTCCCTGACCAATCCTGCTTTTCCTTCTTTTACCAGGCTTCCACAGACAATCCCTTTGCAGACCTCTAACCTTCATAATTTGCATCAGTATCTAATTTTTGCAACAGCATAACAAATAGAGAGATAATCTCTACCACAAAATGATGACTCAGTTGCTAGAATTTTCACCACGAGTCACTTTTGAAACACGGAAGGATGTTTTGTGGAGGAGAATGTTCTGGTGATGATTGCAATGACTTAGGATTTTGAAGTAAGGGAAAATCATGCATACCAGCACAATGGAAGTACTAGTTGTTTTTAATAGTACTGATGCCAGATGAAAAGATGAGTCTTTTGTACCAGACTGGTTGGAAAAATAGACTGAAACATGGCATGGAGACTTCTAACTATATAGCCAATTATTTTTTTGCCTCCAAGTATATTTGAATCCCAATAGTTTGGAGAAGTGACATCCATTTTCAAAGCTAAAAAATAAAATTGCAGTTGTAGGGGACACTAGAGATGCCACCTCAGAACCTTCATTAGGACTTAACTTTTGTTAAGTACAGTACTTCCAAATGGAAGCAAGAATAAAGGAGGGAGATATTGGAATAAATTACATAGAGGGGGTAAGTTAAGTACTAGTGTAAATCACCCAGGGACTACTGGACCTAAGGAGAAAGAGAAATATGGACCCCTAAAGGGCAAGAACTGGAACACAGGACTAGACAGACTTAAGAAACATAATTTAGCATCCAGACAAGTGCCATAAGACTTGGTGAAAATTCTCAACAGAAGTGGTTTCTAGAAACTGGGGGAATGGGAATATTAGAGTGAAGATAAAGTGCTGGAATTGCATCCACCAATGGGAAAGGAAAGGTTTTAAAAGGCTGAGGGAATTTGAAATGCTGTAGTGATTATATCTTGTGAGGTCAAAGATGCACCAAAGGATCATGTAGCACAGGAAGATACAGCTACTGCACGGCTCAAGGAGGACCTCAGTCATATGCTGAGGGACACTAAGAGGCGCATGCTTGTTCTTCTCTCAGAGCCACTGATGCCAACTAGCATAAGCTGTTAATTTTGGCTCATTGATAGCAACAGAGGTCATGGAGTCAAGATCAGTGGGATCAAAGCTATTGATATCAGGTGGCAACACAAACACCAGAGAGCAAAGGCTTACAAGTCAAGGTGGCTAGACTGGCAGCCACTGACCACTATTATGGAACATATCTGAATAGAAGGTAAAGAATTCCACACAATAGACTATCTTCCTAAGGAGCACACTTTTAAGTGCACAACTCTACAGAAAAGTAGCCCATGACCATGGGACCCTACTGCAGGTGCAGCTGAAGTGTGCTGGTGGTGGCATTGAGGTATATGCACACTGAGACAGAGGACTCTGGGTGGCCCTGTGGCCCAGAAAAAAAAGAACAATGACTGGGTCTGAGATCATGGGGTGGAGTAGTGCAGTACCACAAATTATTCTCCATGACTTACTGGAGGGTTTCACCTTCTCATTCTGACACCTCTAGGATCTGCACGGTTAGGATTGCTATTCCCAAAAATGAATTTTTTACCTTACAAAGCAGAGTGATAAGCCATGTTTGTCACCTAGTTCCTTGAATGTTTTGTAGGTATCTACGGACAAGAAGGGAATCAATTATCAGGAATGATGGAGCCTGTTCTGCAGCAGGAGGTAACACTGCGTTTATAATGGAGGGAAGACTACATGAGGAACACAGGTGAACCCTCGCTATTATCTTCCCAATGAAATGAGAAGTCTCAGCAGCTGAGACTACTGAGGTGATAGCTATGAGCAGCGTGAAATTAGACTGGTTAGTGGAGAAGAGTGGTGAGGAGTACCCATTACATCCTAGGACTCACTGTAGTGGTGAGCTTTGTCGTTTATTCCAATACCTTTCTTCTTTAAAATTTTCCCGAGGAGTGGTCCACTAGAAAATTGGAGGAGCTGTGGCCAAATGTGTATAATATAAAGAAGGCTACAGTTGTATGAAGAAATATCACCAGAAAGTCAGATAAACTAGCTGACTATGCAGCCTGAAAGATGTAGTAAAGGCTCGTTATTATTGCCTGTTCAAAGGTCCTATAACTGCACGCTAATGGAGGGGGTGTCAGAGCAAGGATTGTCCACGGAATTTTCATATCTGTAGCATGACCTAAATCTCTCCATTCCCAACCTTGTAATCATCTCCCTTTTATCTTTCACCACCCCCCACCAACAGAAACCTCTTGCATTCCTATCTTCATCTCAGTGTCTGCTTCTCCAGGGACACTGAATAGCTATAATAAAAGTCTGAGTGGATTTTAATTTCATAAATTCCAAGGACCTTTTGGAAACTAGTCTCATACACAGCCCTCACGTAGGGTCTGGAACTCATGTTTTGCTTTGTACACCTGCACCGCATCCCTTCAGGAAGCAGACACAATAGTCTGATAAACCTTATATATCTATGGTCTTGGAACTGACCAGGCTAAATTCTCCTCTGTAATAGAAACAAGTAGCTTTTGACAGAATACACAATTTATTCCAACATACTCAGTAAGATTTTGAAATGTAATTTGTCACCACCATTCATAACTAGTATTAATAACTACAGAACAATGTAGGTGAGAAGTAGGAGTAGGCGTTTTGAAGATATGTGAATATGATTTATATGAAAATTGCTTTAAAAACTAACTGAATGCAGTTTTCTTATTCTGGGTAGTGTAAGTGGGTGATTTTTCTTTCTAATCCCTCCTTTTGAATAGCTTCATTCTACTAATTTAGAAAAAGCTCACCATTTTTCTCAAATTAAGGGAATTAAAATTCCTTCGAGGTCAGTTAATGTGTGATCCCAAGAGTCATAGTTAAATGTTGCACACAGCCTTAAAGTAAAATACATAGCCCTACTTTGAGATGGATTCAAAATTGAGACACACAGGGTGGGAAGAGGCTACAGAGGGGAAAGAATGGATAGCTCACTGGTGAAATACATTTGCAGGAGGGAAGCTGGTAAGAACAAACTTCTGAATATAATCATAGTTTAGATGTTTTAAAATATGCTGTCAGAAAAAAGAAAGGCTAATTCCTGTTTTTCATAATAACTATTTAATGCTGTTTTTGAAACAAAATATTTGATATTGGTTACCTAAGTTTTTTTCAGAAATGTCAGTGTTGCTATATTATATTACTCATCTTGAAGACTATGCAGAACCTGCTTCCTGAATAAGAATGGGGTTGAATTAACTCCTCTATTAGGCACTATTTATTTTGCCCACAAATAGATTTAAATTGAGGGTTCTGGAGAAGAACACCATATTTACAGAAAAAAAAAAAAAAGACAAAATCAGTTAAAAAAAAATCAAATTCTCTGAGAGGCAAACAGAGGCCAAAAATGTGCATGTTAATGTGAATATAAAGAAATCATGACAGCAACCTGCCATTAGAAAATCAGCAGAAGTACTTTAATGAACATTTCTACTACAACAGATTCAGTAAATAGAAAAAATCAGGGAAAAAACGATTAGACATACAATCATTTCCTTTGCCCTGGTGTATCTGCCTTTCAGTCTAACCATTTCCTTAGCAAACACTTCCTTATTTAACTATACTGTCTTTTCCACTTTTCAACCACATTTCCTATAACCTCCTCACACAGTTCTAGTTGCTCCTATACTTTCAGGTTCTTACTCTGTTAGGTGCTTGTAAGTAACTTCCTGTGAAGCTTGAATTTCAATACCGTTTTTATTATTTAGGAGGTTAAACTAATATGAACTAGACATGAGAATACAAAGTTCTTATTTTTATAATAATAGATACACCACTTTCATTTTATATTATATATTGTAATTTTCCTCAAAGCAGTTTTGTTCTACAGTGTGAGAAATCGTCAATATTAGACAAATTTACTCACTGACTGAAGACCATAGCTAACTACGAAAATGCATTTCTTGAGGGTTTACTGTCAAGTAGGTCATGAACTACTCAAGCAATTTGCAGAAACATTGAATATTAGCAGTTAAAATGAGAAAACAGAACCTTGAAGATACTAATGTAAAACAACCCAGCTCAGTCAGAGAGGCTCACTTTAGCGCATAAAATCTTCAACTACGTATGAAAATGTGGCTTGCATTTGTTTTATATGCTTTTGATATATAACTCTCCAGGTAGTCACAGGTGATAATGTTCTTAAATAAGAACAGATCTTTGAAAATTTGTTTTTATATAAAGTTTTACTCAATTTTAATGATACAGTATATTTACAATCACTAAAAAAATATATTTCTAGCATGAGTTTCTATGAAAATAGAATAGATAAAAAAACTTAACACAAAGTGTTTCGTTTTTACCTCTTCCCCATGGGAGGTTTGGCTAATAGGATTTTGCCTGTATTTGTCTTTAGTTGTAAAGTGAAAGGCCATACAGCCTATCTGATTTGCATTATATTAAATCATATGTAAATTAAATATGTGAGTTTAAAAATATAAATATGAATTATCCCTGTCCTCAGTAAACCCAATTCTGTTTATTACTGTAAGCTTTAAAACATTTTTCTAAATTAATCAACAATATATTTTGGAATTCATAAATTGTTAAAATAAAGACATTAAAAGAAAAAACAGTATAGAACTTTTTAATAGAAAGTATTTAGTAAAATGCCTTATCTCCTAATGGCCATGTAAATCTTATAGGCCAGGTCTTATGATCATGATGGTGAGTTATAAAACCTGGTAATAAAGATGTAGTACATTTCCCAAAGGTGTAAATGTAATATAAACAAAACATGGTTTTAAATTGACTCTGAAAAACTGGAATTTATGGTCTTATCTATGGAGCAAATATCTACACCTTATTTTATAATTCCAGCTTCTTTGTATTCTGTGTCATTGTACTTCATTGATTCTGACTCTTTATAATGCCACTTTAACAAAAAAAAACTTGAACTTTTCTAGCTAAAACCCCAAATTTTGCATAATAATATGCTTGCTGAAAGCATAATTATTTCTATTATAAATACATGTGCCTTTATTTTTATAACCCTTTGTAATTCATAAGTATATGATTTCTGTATACAACACAAAGATCTAGAATGTGTTTGCAGTGTGATCATGTCTTAATTTTCCCTTTGTTTTCTTGTACTTTGCTCTCAAAACCAATAGTATGGTTTGAAATATTCATAAAGTGTTGGGGACGAGACCAGGACTTTGCCTCCTATGCACAAAACAACACTTGATTGGAACTTAGAGTAAACATCCTGGTTGAGAATGCAGCACACCGGAATCCCTTCCCCCTCCTCTCCTTCCTTTCCTGGCTCAGCAAGCTTTGGCGCCAAAGAGACAAAGAGATGACGATGGACCCCTCCCCTCAAACCCATTGGCCTTTAAGACATTAGACCACCAGACCACCTCCCGCCTGTACCCTCAAGTATATATACATGGCTGTTGTAAGAATAAACTCTCTCTCTCTCTCTCTCTCACTCTCACGTGTCTCTGTCTTTGCCTTCTTTCTGGCGCTGTCCCTGGGGCTCTACCCCCCGCCTTGAGGGGCTCTACCCCCTCGCCATGCGGGTCAAGGCCCGCCACAAGGTCAAGGCTCTGCCTTCTCCTTGCGTCGACCCTGGGACCCCAATTCTCGGCCTTGCTGGACAAGGCCCCCCGCAATAAAGTTGACAGTATTTTAATCACATGTATTTAGTTACTGCATTAATTATTTTTCAAGATAAAAACTATTTTGACTAGTTGTAAAAATAATAAATAACCATTCCTTGGAAAAAATACCTACAACCAAATGGAAAAGAAACAAAGCCACCAACAAAATCGTACACATATGTCTAGGAAAGTTACTGTTAGAATTTTGATTTTTTTTTTTAATCATTTCCTCTCCTTTTAGAGAAGTTTCTTTAGCCTTTCTCTTAGGATAAACCAGAGACATATTCTTAGTTTTCACTGATACAGGATTCTAGCATGACAGATCTTTTCCTTTAGTATTTGAAAAATGTCCTTTTTCTGGACTAGTTGGTTTCTGACCAGAAATTTTACTGTCATTAAAACAGCATTCGCCCATGAGGGAAATTTCTCACCCATTATTTTGAAGATTTTGAATTTTCAGTTTGATCATGATAATTGCATATTGCTATAAATTTAGGGATTTTGTTGTTTTCTAAAGCCTAGATTTAGTTGATAAATGTGGGGATTTGTATCCAGTTTTTGAACACTTTACTAGCTCTGTCATATGATTTTTGCAGGGCACTAAAGTTTTTTTCAGTCTTTTTTCTTACTGGTTACATTTTGTCTTACAGTTCACCAATTCTTTCTTCTGTTCACTTCATTCTATTGCTAAAACCATCCACAAGTTATAAAAAAGCATTGTATTCTTCAAGTCTTAAATTTACATTCAGTGTATTTTATATCTACTATCTTTTGACTTTCTTTGCACATGTTTTAGAAAACTTTCCTATTTCAGCCATTTTTGTATTTTCATTAAGTGTGTGTATTTTTAACATTAAATTTTCCTATTCTTTGATAAGATGGATATTTTGAGTATTACATATGCGATTTTGGACCTTACTCAGGCCATTTTTTAAAATAGCAGTCTGGTGGGAGAAGGAGCAGCCTTACTGTTGGGGTGATAAAGTTAAGGTTCCCCATTTGCTTTCTAATACTGAGTGAGTGGCTTATTACTGCTCACTGCTAGTGAAAATCCTGACTCTGCACTGGGATTTCCCTAATAAAACTCCAGGAGGCAAGAGGGTGGCCTTGAACCTAACTAAGTTCATGCAGAGTCTCTATCTCTGTGCGGGAGGAAGGTTGTTAAAACCCTGTACAGAGGGAGTTTTTGATTCATTACGTGAACTTCTTTTACCCCACCCTGGCAGGATGCCTTCTTTTAAGCTAACAAGTTTTGAATTCTTGACTCCAACTTTGATCCTTGCTGGCATGGACAGGAATTAGGACAGAGGAATTTGACTAGAGTTTAAAAGTTTATTGCCCAAAATACTGAACTAGAGAGAAGAATCTTGCATTTTGATGTTGTTTTCCCTAGGCACTTGGTGTTGCTGGATTCCTGGCATCATTCACAAGAGTAACCACAACAAAAATATCAGCCCGATGAATTACCACATTGATGAAAGTAGAAGTAAACATGTCTATGGTAAACAGAACAATTTGAAAGACATAGTGAAGTCCAGTGTTAGATCTTATTGTCTAATACCCTTTGAAATGTCACTGTGTTAAATTTTGAAAAGTAATTGTAACTTATCACATGTGAATATTTTGAGGGGATAATGTATGTATAGTCTCAAAACCTATGCTATAATGTACTTGTGAAAAAAGACTACAATCTGGTTAGCTTTTAGTTTCCAAATAATTTGACAGAATATAGTAAAAAAAATGGCTACTTTTTTTTTCTTTTTGAAATTTACAAATAAGGTAGAAGAGGGAGACATTATTAGCTAGTGTGCCAAAAAAAAAAAAAAAAACATACAGCTATACAATGGAAAGTCATTTTGGAGGATCAGTATTCTGTGCTGAAAGGGGAGGAACAAAGTCCATTAGTTTTAACTTGAATTATACTGCTGGTGATAAACTGTTCTTCTGTATGGATAAGAGAAAGGTAATTGTTAAAAAGTGCCACTATTGTAAATCAATATATAATATTTGTAATTATGTTTAAAATTATTATACAGCGGATTTTTATCCACATGTAAAATGATTTAAATTGATGTATGTTAAGAGCATTTTGACTGCCTTCAAATGTAGCTATATTCTAAGTATACATCTGATTGAAAACTTAATTTTTTGGATATTAATTTAATTTTAGCCTACTTAATTTTTCTAGATGCTTTTGCTTACTGATAACTGATGTGACACTGGTGTACTTTCCTGTTTAAAAAATAAAGGTATGGACACTCAGTCATTCAAGCATAAGTGTTTCAATTGTCATTTATCTGTAATAAAATAAGAACCCAAGTGGCATTATGGCAGACAAGTAACAACTGTAATTTATTGTTGTTTCTATTCTGATTCACTGGTAATTAGGTGATCAGTGCTCAAGATATAAGTTTAATAGCTTTTTCCTTATCCCAGTAGTTTGTTTTTTTAAAAAAATCATTTTATAGCCTATTACTGTAGTGCTCTCAGCTTGAAGTTTCTTTGAAAGTACACCTTAAAGGCTTCAATTTTCGTTATCCTATTTATAAAACAAATCCTTTAAACACTATTCATTTATTTATTTGCTCTCCATATATTGGCACCACTTTATTCTGGCTTCAAAAGTTTTGTTTTCAAGAATGACATCAGCAAGATAGTAGACTAAGAAGTTCTACCACTCATCCCTACAAAATGAGCAAATCTATCCACAAAAAGTCTGAGAACCTTAGAGAATAATGAAGAATGTACAACAACCCAGGGGATTACAAGAAATAAAGATGACCACATACAAAAGTGTAGGAAATGTTATAGCTGCTTTACCCCATCACCTCATTGGCAAGAGAAATCCCCAGAGCCATGACTGTTCCTGGGCTGAACAGGCTCCAGAAGTCTCTGCCATGGTGTACCCTGATGGTCTTTGCTAAAGAAGTCCCAGTTGCAGAGTTCACACTGGCGTACTACCAGCAACTATATACAGGCCACAGCCAGGTACTGGCTCACATACTAGTACTGCTGAATACATGCCTCTTCCCACTATGACTGCATGCAGGGGATATACTTGTCCCAAGCTCGAGTAAGGAACTTGCCCAACAAAGCCCTTTCCTAATGTCTGGAAGAGGTAACTTACTCCTACAAGGTGCACACATGATTACAAGAATATAAGAAACTCAAAAAATAAAGGAAACACAACACCAAAACAGCCCAATAAATTACCAGTAACCAACCAATGGAAATGGATATATGAATTTCCTAGAAATTGTAAAACTGGAAAAATCCAAGTGAAATTAACAGTTGAAAAAATAATTGTAAGATATTTACACATTGTGAAAGAATTCTTCCTGGTAAGTAAATAAAAAAAAAAATAGCCAACTTACATATACCTCTTTTAAATAGATGAGGATATTTAAGTTCATTAGCACACTTCAACATATGCACTTATTAAAAAAGGACCGAGATCACTTCAAACAACCTAATTTCACAACTAAAGAAATCAGGAAAAGAGTGAAATGAAACCCCAGTATTAGCAAGAAATATTAAACATTAGCAAGGAGATAAACAAGAGACTTGGAAAGTATTATAATTCCATACTTAGCAAAATGATCCACAGATTCCATGCCATCAGAATCTTTATGACAATTCAAGGACATTCTTGAAAAACATAGGGAAAAAATTTCTAAAAATAGATGGGATATGAATAAAATAAACTGGTCAAATAATCTTAAGGTAAAAATTACTAGTAGATGCATTAGACTTTAGATAACTAAACCAGAGTTATAATCATCACAATGATTTGGCACAAAAACAGACATATATTCCATTGGCTGAATGGGTGACTCAAAACCAATGTAGTCAAATGATCTTTATCAAGGTCTGAAGACATACACATAGTGTGAAAAAGAATAGTTTCCTCTATAACTAGTGATGAGAAAACTGGTTTATCCCATCAGAAGAATGAAATTGAACCCTTTACCATCTGCAAAGAACAATTCTATACTAATTAGTCTTAAATATAAGTATGAAAAAATAAACATTGGCATGGTCTGCATAATGACTTTTTGCATATGACACCAAAAGCACAATCAACAAAAGAATAGACACTGGGAGTGCATTACACTGTAAAGCTTCAGTAGCAAGGGAAAATTGGTTCCTGGGAAATCATTGAAATGAAAAGACAACCTATAGAGTGGGAGAAAGTCACAAACCACATACTGGGTAAAGGGTCAATATCCAACATATATAAGGAGCTCAGTATCAAATGATAATTTGATGAAATAATTAAAGGATTTCAATAAACATTTCACCAAGAAGATATACAAATGACCAACAGTTAAATGAAAAGATGAGCAGTATCATTAATATTCAGGAAAATGAAAATCAAAACCACAATGAGATATCTCATAAGAAAACATTAAGATAACAGGAATTGACAATTGTGAGCTAAAGGGAAACCTTTAAAATTTGGTACAGAAAAAATAGAGGTTCCTCAAAAAAATTGAACTACCTGTAACCCAGTAAGTAAGATGTGACCCACCTCTCGGTATATAGCCAAAGAAAATGAAGTCAGT